TGGGCATTTGAAATTGGTAGGTCATCCAGTTTAGCACTTGGACATGTTCTTGTTTTTCCAGTCCTGGGGCTTGAACTCAGGGCCTTGAGCTGTCACCTGGCTTTTTTTGTTCAACCACTTGAGCCACACCTCTGCTTGCAGTTTTTTGCTGGTTAACTGAAAATAATAATCTCAGGGACTTTCCTGCCACAGCTGACTCCAGGCTTTGATTCTCAGATCTCTAAGTAGCAAGGACCAGAGGTTTGAGCACTTTAATGTAATACGCTTTCCTAACAGTAAGTCTCTGCAGAGTTTGTTCAACCCAGGAAAGGAGCCTCAACTGATACAGGCAGGGGAGGCCCTTCGCTTCCTTCTCTTCCACCAGCCTCTAGACACTTGGCAGAGCTTTGGTTTCTGGCCCTGCTCATCATAGGCAAGACCTTCCTTCTGGCTGGGAGGTAAGGACACCTGCCTGGGTATCCTAGGAACACAGAGCCTGGTGAGAAGGTGGGAGGGAAGATGGGAGGCTTGAGACCTGCTCCCCAGACACGATCCCTGGTGACAGAGTCTTGAAAACCAGCCCTACTCTGCTGCCCTTCTGGCTCAGTTCCCCAACATTCACATGTATGGGCACCATGAAATCCCCCGGGACCATGGAGGCAGCCAACCAGGATTTAAGTCTGGCCTTCAGGCTGCTGGCCCCAGGGACTCCATTCTCCAGCCCAGGGGAAGTTAGCTCTGGCAGCTTAGCAAGGCAGCCATTAGCATACAAAGTATCCAAGGTTAGACTGGAAGCCACTCAAGGGTAAGAACTTTGTTTATGCACTGTGGTCACAGCAGTTCTACCGCAGACCCTGGCACCTACGGAAGCTAAATACAGGTTTACTGAGAGAATGAAACATAAATAAAGGGTAGAGTTACAGCATAGGCTCCACACTAAAAGGCAATTTTTAGCCTAAAGATGAAATAAACATAATCATCTTAACCTTAACTCAAGCTTAGTTGGGGTTTACTAATGAACTTTGAAGTTTTGGGGGGGGATGAGCTTTCAATCTAACCCAGAGGCTAAGGTGGATGTGCTAGGCCTTCATGAAGCAGGGACGCAACAGTGCTGGCCAGGAAATCAATGGACGTTCCACATGTCCAGTTACTGCACCAAGACCAAACAAGTTTCTTCCTCCCACCTTTCCTCTGTCTTTGCTTCTAGACCCAATCTGAAGGACTGTGACATGCACAGGGTCAGGGAAACATGCTGCTCCATTTCCTTCGTCATTTGACTCTCACTCTCCATATAGCCAAATGCTCATACTAGGACTCTTATACTGCATCCAAGTGAAGCTGGGCGCTGGTGGCTCACGCCTGTAATCCTAGCTACTCAGGAGGCTGAGATCTCAGGATCACCGTTCAAAGTCAGCCTGGGCAGGAAAGTCCCCGAGACTCTAATCTCCAATAAACCACTCAGAAAAGGAAGTGGCCATGTGACTCAAGTGGTAGAGTGCTAGCCTTGAGCTGAAGGACAGCGTCCAGGCCCAGAGTTCAAGTCCCACAACTGACAGAAAGAAAGAAAGAAAGAAAGAAAGAAAGAAAGAAAGAAAGAAAGAGAGAAAGTAAGAGAGAAAGAAAGAAAAGATAAATGCTTCTGGGAAATTTTACAACAACAACAAAAACTTAAGAGCTCACATAAGTATTGTTATTCAGGGAATCATCATTCTATCTCGGCAAGGGGGTGGTGGAACAGGGAGAGAGCATGTACCAGTGCTGAGACTTGAACTCAGGGCCTCACATTCTTGCTTAGCTTTTTCACTCAAGGCCGTCACTCTTCCACTGGAACCACACTTCCACTTCTGGCTTTTTGCTGGTTAATTGGAGATGAGTCCCTCTCAAATTTGTGTGGCCAGACTAGCTTTGAACTGAGTTTCTCAGATCTCAGTCAGAGAACTCAGCAACTACCATTCAGATCTCAGCTGGGCATAACAGCAATGGCTGGAAAAACCACACCTCTTAGGTTTCTTCTGCAAAATGGGCTCAACTTGGAAGGTTGTTATGATTCTTGCAAAGACCTATAGACATCTTATTAAGTGCTGGGCTCCAGGCACAGACCAAGAGGTAAAAGTTATGTCTGGAAGCCCTTCTTTTGAGTTCCCAAGCTGTCCAAGGTGAGCAAACAAGCCATTAAGCTGTGCCTCCGTCTCTCCATCTTTCAAACCTCTGATATCTCTCTCCATCTTTTAAACCTCTGATAGGGTTAGGGTATAGAATTTCTCAAGTACCAACTCTGAGATTAAAAGCTCAAAGTATTTAATATTTACCTTGCCTGCTTCAAAGGAAGGTTACGATAAAGCAAGCTCAGAGTTGTAGAAGGCCTTTGATGGGAAAGATGCACATACAAACAAGGCATTAATTAAAGCATTTTTTTTAGCTCAACTTCATAGACACCCATAATATTCATAACCCAGGGGCAACTGTTCCTTAGCAATATGGAAACTTGCCTGCCTGGCCACATTTAAGATTCTGTACGTGCCTGAAAGGTAACCCTTTCCACCTGGCTGGATCCAAAGTGGGAAGCCTTTGTTTGGGTAACTAGGAATGGGGAGAGGGAGATGGAAATCTGTTCTTGAAGACAAACATTTTTGTTGTGGACTTTCTTTCTTTACAATTTTAATTTATTTTTACATTGCTGGGATCAAATCCAAGACCTTACTCTATCGCTGAGCTACAAATTTGTTTTGTGTGGGTTGAACTTGGGGCTTTAACTCAAGACCTAAACACTGTCCTTTAGCTTTATTTTGCTCAAGGCTAACACTCTACCACCTGAGCTACTGCTCTACTTTTGGCATTTTTGGTGGTTAATTGTAAAGAAATAGTTTCATGGACTTTGCAATTCAGGCTGGCTTCAAACCTTGATCCTCAGATCTCAGCTTCTTGAGTAGCTAGGATTCCAGTGCCCAGCTTGTTCATTTTTTTAAGAGAGAAGTCTTTCTATGTTGCCCAGGTCACCCTGAATCCTTGGGTTTAAAAGATCCTCAACTTCTAAATTGCTAGGATTACAGACAGGTACCACCACATCCAGCTTGGGGAGTCTCAATTAATTTGTTCTCCCTTAAAATAAAGGGGGCACCCTGTTTCAGTCAGCCTGCCTTAAGAACCAGTCACCTTTGTGGAGAGAGTCAAGGTAAGCCTGCGGACTCGCCCACTGTTTCATGAACCAGCTATGTTTCTGGCCTGATTCCACCATTTTCACAACCCTAAACCCAGACACCTGAGAAAGTTGAGTTTCCTCAAAAGGTTTACAATGCCTGACGTCACCAGGAAGCGCTCCACCAACTCAACCATGAAATCGAAAACCTCATCACGGCTTTCCCCAACAACCTGGAGCCTAGAGAAGTGGCTGTGAATCTGATAGTTCCCGCTTCAGTAAGAAAGATAAAGTGCTGACATGACAACGCTCAAAAACCATAGAGGGCTCTCAGAGGCTAGTAGAATACTTGGACAATGTGGGGGGGGTTGGTGGGGGGGAGATTTGGCGGAGGTCTGGTTAGCAATAAAGCTTCCTCAGGGAGCCGGAATTGGATTTGGGGCCCTGCCCAAGTTCACATTTTTACAGGTTGGCTCAGTTGCAGTTTGTTAGCCAGCCAGTAATAAAGCCATGTGCAAGAATTGAAAGTTTATGGTGCATGGCCTCTTACGCCTCAGCTCAGCTCCCTGCAGCCAAGGGTTTAGGCAGCTTGGCCCAGCCTGGGTGTTAATTGTTTTGTCAATCTGCTGAGCTATTTGGGGGAAGATTTTTTTTTTTTTTAAAGGTTTCCACAGACTCCAGGCCCTCAATCCTCCTTAGAGAAACAAAGAAGGGCCTTTCTATCCCTAGGAACGGACACCCCCACGTTCAAGCTGTGGGCATTTGTGCTGAGAGGTGGATAAGGATTATGTTGATAGAAACATTAGAAAAAATGCTAAGTGGCCACCATTCTGAACGTTTTGAAAGCGGGTTAAACTATAGCTCCTCTCCACAGGGGGAGTTCTGCAGTGGACGTCCCCCCCCCCAAGTTACACCCCTGTTTTATCGCTTGGATTTGATTCTGTGTTGAAACCCCCAATTGTTCTCTCCGCTTAGAGGTAAAGAGCACCCTCACCGGCCAGCGGCAACTTCTCAAGTCTCATGACACACTGGTTCCCCACACCAAAGTGACCCCCCACTCTCAAGTTCTTGAACTTGAGTGAGGAAAATTAGTAACTGGCAGATCAAAAATGTGCTTTGATCTCTCCTCCCCCTTCTCTATTGCCCAAGGCCTTCTGGTTCTCCTACACTCACCCCCCCTCCCCAATTGATCTACCATCCCAGTCCCAAGACTTTGGGGAGCAGCCGTACCCCCCCATACGTGATGGCCTCAGCCCAGGTGTGCCAGGTCCTTTGTAGGGAGGAGGCAGGCAGGCGTGCGGCAGGGGGAGCAGACCCTCCGGGAAGGGCAGGGTTAAGAGTGCATTCCAGCTAGCTGCCCGGGAAGAAGGGGGCGGGGGAGGGGAGCAAAGAGAAGAGAAACAGACCGGGTCTGTCTGTCGGAGACACAAAGCACGGTTCACAAAGGGGGCCCGAGAGGGGCGAAGGGGGCTGCGCGGGGCAAGGCTCATCCCCACACCTGCGCGGGGGCTGGGGAAGGAATGCGGATCGCGCATTCCTCGGCTGGGGCCAGCCAGGGAGGGCTTTGTACGTCGGGGCTGGGTGAGGGGCTCGGCTACTCGGCACCGAGGGGTCAAAGCAAGCGTCGGCTGCGGGGGCAAAGAGGGACTGGATGTTAGGGGGGCGTCTCTCTGCCCAGCCGGGTCCGACAGCCACGCATGCACGCGCACGCACGCACACACACACACCCTCAGCCCCCCCTTCCCCCCCCCTTACACGCCTTCTGCACCTCCCCGGGATCTGAGACTCCGAAAGTGCCCTGTCCCGGCCCGGACACCCCTGGCGCGGGCCGCGTGCGGTCCCGTGCGCGGCGGTTCCACGCAGGCTGTCTCTGGCAGGGTCTTACCTGGCCCCAGCGCCCGGCCCGGCTCCAGTTCGGTGCTGGCCGCCTCCAAGGTCACTTCAGCCTCCCCGGTGCTCCGCGGGCACGGCTCGGAGGCTGCGCACCGAGGCCAGCAAACCTGTGCCTTGAGGGTTAAAAATAAAGAGGGGGGAGTCCGGGTCAGCGCTGTGCCCCATCTCGGGGAGACCCCCCCACACACACCGGAACTCTGGGGACTACCCAGACCCGCCTGGAGCCCGGCCCCGCGCGGGCCCTCGACGCCCCGGCGGCGTGCGGACCCCGCCCGCCCTCCAGGGAGCGGTCCCCGCTAGGGCGCGGGCCAGGCACCGGGGTACCTGGAGGAGGAGGAGGAGGAGGGGCCCGAGGCGCTCTCGGAGGAGCCCCATGGTTGCGGGGAGCGCGCGCGCGAGGGAGAGCGAGGTGAGAGCGCGGCGACGACCACCCAACTCCGCGGCGCTCTGCTCCGAGCCGCGCCGCTCGCCCGCGGGAGGGGAGGGGGGGGCCAGGTGAGCGCAGGTGGGCGCTGATTGGCCCAGCGTCACGAGGCCCCGCCCCCTGGCAGGTGGGGCCGCGACGGGCGCGCCTGGGGCCCTCGGTGAGCCCCCATCCGCCTTCCCCGGTGGGCGTTCGCGGGCGCTGGGGCAGCGCTGGAGTTGTTCCCAGCTGGAACTCGGAGGGTCTCGAAGGTTGGGGATTCAAAGGAGAGAGAGAAAAAAATCACTCCATTCCTCAGCGGGAGACAAAGATTTCTTTGCTTTGCGGTGACAGCGGGGGGGGGGGGGAGAGAGACAGATCTGAGTCGGACCGAAAGCAGAGATTCCCTTTGAGCCAGGCTGGAATCGGGGGGTGTGTCTCCCCCCAACACCCGCTACTCCGGGGTCTGCCCACCGTCCACGCGCTCCCGCCCCAGGACTAGGGTTTAAAACCGGCGGGAGGGGGGATGTCTCGGGGGAGGGGGGGCGCATTGGACCTTGCGGGAGAATCCTCGAGTCCGCCTGGCAGCGGACCCAGTGCCAGGCCAGCAGAGAAGGCCGGGGCTGGGCGCGAGGTAGGGGGATGCTGAGTCGCCGTTAGCCCTGTAGTTTCTAGCAAATTCCTCTCTCCCCCACCCCAACTCCCCCAATATATAACGCTTCCTCGCCAGGCATTGGTGGCTATTGGGACTCACACCTGGAACCCTAGCTTGTCAAGAAGCTGAGATCGGCGGATCACGGTTTGAAACCAGTCCCCCCGCACCCTCCCCGCAGAAAAAATCGGTGAGACTCTTCAATTAACCAGAAAACAAAAAACAAAACAAGTGGAGCTACAGCTCAAGGGTTAGAGTGCTCTAGCTTTGAGCAAAAAGAAAACCTCATAGTGCCAGGCCAAGAGTTCAAGCCCTAGTACCAGAGATAACGTATCATCGTTATGTAAAATGCAAACAAGACCAACTTAAACGCAGCTTTTATTCACGTAGAATACCTTATATAATCTACATTAAAAAGTTACATTCTTCATCGACAGTTCCCCTACACCCTTCCTGCGAGGTAAACCCCAGATCCTGGGGCTCCTTCCTCCTCCCACTGCGTTAAACGTGAAGGGCTTTTCTTCTTGGCGGCACACGTGGGCCCAGAACAGAGAAACTGCCCTAAGACTCAGTCACTCCACCTTCTCCCCATCGAGCTGAGATTTCCAGCCCAGGGCCACATTTCTTGTACCTGAGCTCCCTGGAGAATCCCAGGATACTGCCGCTTTGTTCTTCCCCCTCTTTCTTCCCAGCTCAGATATAGGGGGTTTGTGCCTTTGCCTACCTGTTCTCACAACTAACGTGCTGTGCTAGGGGGCATGGGTGGGGACAATCTTGGGCTCTGAGTTATCTATCACCGCCCGGGGCCCAATCTGGGGACCATTCTCCATCTGTTAATGGAGCTATGAGGCCACTGCTCTTTCAAGAATTTGGAGCAAAATGAACTCACACACGAAAAGCACTAAACTCAGTACCTGACATCTAGAGCACGGTCCGATGTGGCTTGGTGTTGCCGCTCTAGGATCTGGCTCATTTGGCCGGCGGGTTCTCTCCAGCCTGAGCCACCCCTCCTTCCTCCACTGAGAAAATGAGAAGCCTTCAATTTCACAGCGGAGGGTAAAGCGAGCAATTGGCAGCTGGTGTCCGGGGAGCGCTGCGCGATCAGGACCACCGGTGGGTCGCCTGCGGGTCCTGCGGAGGTGGAGGGGGGCTCTGTCCATACCCTGGGGGGGGGCGCAATGGCGCACGCCCAGGCGGAACGTGGAGGCGACCCGCCCCCCCCTCACGCCCTCCCGGAGCCAGACAAAGCCATTAAACACAAACGAGCCTCGGGATGCAGACCCTAATTAAGTAAACACCCGGCTGGAGAGCTGTGCCGGGCGCTCATTTCCGCCATCTTCCCGGGCACTCAGCATTCCGGGCAGGGGGCCGAGAGACCAGGCCGGGAATTGACAGTCAGCGCCTCTGCCCGCCGCTGCACCGCCTCGCTGTCCTGTCCCGAGCTGCCCCTCGGCTGCGGTTCAGTCACTCATTTCACTCCATGGATTTGAGTTACAGTTCCCGACTGCCTGCTACCTGCCAAGCACTGGAGGAGATTGAGTGGCAAACCCGACACAAGAAAGTCCTGGCACCCGGGCTGGGAAGGTAGCTCAGTGGTAGAGCGCTTGCCTTGCATGCCAGAGGCCCTGGGTTCGATTCCTCAGCACCACATAAGCAAAAAAAAGCTGGAAGTGGCACTGTGGCTCAAGTGGTCTAGCCTTAAGCTGAAGAGCTGAGGGACAGCGCCCAGGCCCAGAGTTCAGGCCCCACGACTGGACCCCCCCCAAAAAAAGAAAGTAAGTCCTGGCACCCTTTGATTTTCCAGCCCAGAGGAAAAAAAAATGGGTAATTGGTGTGATCATGACAGTGCTGGGTAGACCAAAGATAGAACCGGAAGTGCAGGTGGATGGACAGAAGGTAGAGTTGGAGGGCCTGGGAATGTGGCTTAGTGGTAGAGAGCTTGCCTAGCATGCATGAAAAGCCCTGGGTTCAATTCCTCAGTACCACAGAAACAAAAGGAAAAAAGCCGCAAGTGGTGCTGTGACTCAAGTGATAGAGTGCTAGCCTTGAGCAAAAGAAGCTCAGGAACAGTGCCAGGCCCTGAGTTCAAGTCCTAGGACTGTTTAAAATAAAAATTTTTTAAAAAGTAGGGTTGGAAAGCAGATAAAGGGGTGTGAAGGCACCAAACCCCAGCAATGGCAGAAAGGTGTTGCTCCTTTGAGGTGTTGCTGGACGTCCAAGGGTGGGGACACAGGATGCTGAAGGGTGGGGGGAGTGTGGGTCCCCTCCCCAGTGCAGCAGTGCTCAGCACAGAGCAGGGAGATTGAGGGAAAAATAGCCAGCAATCTGCCTTCCCACCCTGGGTCCACGGTGCAAGCTGCATCCATCAGACCTCCAAAGAGCTCCGGGGAGAAAACAAATCCCAGGTGGCAGGGTCTCTAGGAGTCATTCTGTATAGGTAACTGTCACAGAATTAGTCCAACCTCCCTTTCTCCTCTCCTCCCCCACTTCCGCCTCCTCTTTTCTCATTCTCAAACCTTTTCTTCCTCTCTTCTTATCTCGATGCTGGGAACTGAACCTAGAGCTCTACCACTGAGCTACACCCACCATTCCCAGCAGAGAGCAAACACAAAATCCCACAGGCCTCATAAAGAAGACAGTGGACATTGCACCAAAGATCCCAAGGAAGTAATAGAACAAGCTACAACTAGGATGTGAAGAGAACCAGAATGCCTGGAGGCTGTAGATTACAAGGAACAGAAAAAAAAATGTTAATGGGACTGGAGTAGAAGAGCAAGTAGGAAATGAGTCAGAGATTTGGGGAATGTGGAGAGCACTGTACAGAGCCGGTCACCACTGTCAGACTTTGGCCTGTACTCTGGGTGGGTGGGAGGGAGGAAGCCTCTGCTGGCTTTGAGTGGGAAGTGGTGGTAAGGAAACTTCTGGGGACCAGGGCAGAAGCTGGGAGGTCCTTGGAGTCCATTGCAGGCATCCAGGAAAATAACAGTTGGAATGATTTGGGTTTGGTTGGTCATTGTGGAGAGATCAGATTAAAAAGTAGACAGCATCTGAGCATTGATGGCTCAGGGCTGTAATCCCAGCTCCTCAGGAGGCTGAGATCAGAGGATCATGGTTCAAAGCTAGCCTGGGCAGGAAAGTCCATGAGACTCTTTAGTTCTTATTAACCACCAAAAATGGAAGTGGAGCTGTGGCTTAAGTGGTTGAACACCAGCCTTGAGCTGAAAAAGCGAAGGGACAGCACCCAGGCTATGACCTTGACTTGAAGCCTGAGGAAAGAAAGAGAGATGGAGAAAGGGAGGGAGAGAGAGAAAGGGAGGGGGGGGAGAGTAAGTGTGGAGGAACACTTGTGCCCTGCTGGTGGGAATGTAAAATGGTGCAGCTACGATGGAAGAGAGAATGAGCATTACAAACATTTAAAATAGAACCACCACACATAGTAGACTTGTATGCAGCTACCACACTGCGAACATAAATATGGATTTTGTGTCAATTAAAAAGAAAAATAGGGCTGGGAAGGTGGCTTAGTGGTAGAGTGCTTGCCTCATGTGTATAAAGCCCTGGGTTCAATTCCTCAGTACCACATAAACAGAAAAAGCCAAAAATGGTGCTGTGGCTCAAGTGGTAGAAAGCTAGCCTTGAGCTGAAGAGCTCAGGGACAGTGCCCAGACCCTAAGTTCAAGCCCCAGGACTGGCAAAAAAGAAGAGAGAAAGAAAGAAAGAAAAAGAAAGAAAGAGAAAGAAAGAAAGTCTGGCTCCAGTAGAGCATGCCTATAATCCTAGCTACTCAGGAGGCTGAGATCTGAGGATCACAGTTCAAAGCCAGCCCGGGGCAGAGAAGTCCATGAGACTCTTTTATCTCCAATAAACCACTAGAAAACCAGAAGTGGTGTTGTGGCTCAAGCGGTAGAGCGCTCACCTTGAGCTGAAGAGCACAAGGAACAAGAATAGCACCCAAGCCCAGAGTTCAAGCCCCAAGACAAAAAAACAAAAAACTATGCTAGACAGGAAAATCTGTAGAACTCTTATCTCCAATTAACCACCAAAAATGCTGGAAGTGGAGCTGTGGCCACAGCACCATTTCCTGTGGCTCAAGTGGTAAAGTACTAGAACTGAGTAAAAAAAGCTCAAGGACAATACTCAGGCACTGAGTTCAAGCCCTATGACCAGCACACAAAAAATGAAAAAGAAAACAATAGAAATACTATATGATCCATCAAATTTCATTTCTGGTACATTCCCCAAAGAAGTAAAATCAGGGACTTGGAGATATATACCTGCTATAAACCTGCTTAGTGTGGCTTAGTGGCAGAGTGCTTGCCTAGCACACACAAAGTCCTGGGTTCAA